GAGAGTGCTCGTCTCCAGCTGCAGCTAGAGGTGAGTCGCGTGCTGCCCTGCCTCTCTAGGAATGCTCTGAGCGCACCGTGTCTGCTTGCCAGGCCAGGTGATTGTGGGAGTTTTTACAGTGGGAGGTGCCGGTTCACCTGGGCAGTACACTCAGCACAATAGAGATTCAGATTGCAAGGCTTGTCCATCTGCATTGCAGTCAGGGTGCTATTTATAGGTCGGAGAGGCAGCGTGATCTAGTGGGTAGATGCTCTGGACTGGGACTCAGGTGACCTGGCTCTGCCACTGACCTCCTATGTGACCCGGAGCAAGCCCCTCTCTATGCCTCAGTTTCCCCTCTCACCCTTCGTCTATTTCATTTGTAAGCTGTTGGAGGTAGGGGCTTTTTCTTACCCTGTGCACATGCAGCTTCTGGCATAATGGGTCCCTGATCTCTTCTGGGGTGCTACCCTAATAGAAATACAAACACCTGCTGGCAGATTGAAACTCACCAGCACTGTCTATTTTTGTTTTCCCAGGTTAAGGAAAAAAATCACCAGGAGATTGTTACTATCTACAGAACCCATCTGCTCAATGCAGCCCAGGTACAAACCTCAGACGGTCTGGGTTGGTGCTAAGGCTAGTGTGGCTTCAGGTAGATTTCAATACATTTCTGCTCCTGCTGGTTCCCATAACCATTAGGTGATTCTCCGCAGGTTCTCACTGAACTCTGCTGCAACTGGCTTGAGACTCCTAGCACTGAGGTACTGTAGGCTAGACCAGGGGGGACTGGGAGTCAGGATGCCTGAGATTCAATCTCCGCTCTCGGAGGCGAGTGGTGTCTGGTGGTTAGAGTAGGGGGAGCTGGAAGACAGAGTGTTACAGTCCCCGGATGTAATGACTAGAACGTACTCCCTCCCTGAATTGGCAATAGAGCCCAGGAGTCCCAGTTCTCAGTCTTCACTGCCCTAACCCACTCCTGAGTTCTCATCTCGGCTCTGGGAGGCTGTGTGGTCTAGTGGGGTGAGTACAGTCCTGGGAGCCGGTGTGGTTAGTGGTTAGAGCACGGGATTGGGAGTCCTGAGTCCTGTTTCTGGCTCTGGACACGCCTCCAGCCATTTGGAGCGACCCAACAGGGCTGATTAGGAGGTGCCTCGCACAGTCAAGGGGCTAGATTTCCCCAAGCTTACGCCCGGGTGCAGGGTCCCCAGCACTGCACAGCCATGAGTGGGGAAGTTGTAGCCCTGCAAGCCACAGATGTTTCTCTGCTGGGGGACCAAGGTTGGCCTGAAAGCAGGCAGCACTGGGCGTGGATGGGGCAGAGCCAGGGGACGGGCAGATCTGACAGGTCCTGGCAACAGAGGTTCTGCCTGACAGGCCCTTATGGACCGACGCTGGAGCAGAAAGGAAAATTGCTTTCCCCCGGCAGAGCTTGTGAGACAGTGGCTGAAGCACGCACTGGCCCGCCACAAGGGGGTGCTGTGGTGCAGAATGGCAAGCCCAGAGCTGGTGGCGGGGTGGGGAGGGCTGCTGGAACGTGTCTCAAGCCAGACCATGGACACCAGTGTGTTACACAACACACTGATCGGGGATGGGGTTTCTTCCGGCTCAGGGGTTCATGGATGAAGAAGTTCACTCGATGCTGCTCCGAATCCTGAGGGCGAAGGAGGAATGAGCTTTGCCCTCCTCTTCCCGGGAACTAGGATCTTTCTTCTGTGCAAGTGAGTGTGTCTGTCCGTCTGTCTGTCTCTCTTCTTTCCCCCCTTTGCTTCAGAGAAGGCGCAGCGCTGCCTGCTCTCATCGAATGTCCCCGTAAGGTCCCCAACGCCGTAGCGTCTGAGCTTTCGGGTGCTGCTTTCATACAAACCGTCCAGCTGAAAGACTTTAAGTCACAGCTGGGATGCTCAATGATCACTCAGCAGGTCGGGTGCTGGCAAGAGAGCGTCTGGCTGGGTAGCTCAGCCCTTAAAGGCACAGTCCTCAGTACAACAGCAGCTCCCACCCACCCACTCACCCCCCTACCTGCCCCAGCCTCGGAGCTGGCAACATTCGTGCAGCTCCAGGCCCTCTCCCCGTCGCTGCTTGGGGGAGAGGGTGGTGATCGAAGTTTATGGCAAGATACAAATCGTTTGCAAATGAGCTCATTCAATCATCTGCGTTATAGGGTCACACATGGAGCTGTGCCAAGCTTGGCAGTTCGGTGTCTGTGAATCCCTGTTGGGGTGGTACCTTAAGGCCACCCCTCTCCCCAGCATGACCCTGCCCTGGGGATGAATCGTAGCCCTGGTCTCACTGAGGCAGTGTTTGTGGGGGTCAAACCCAGGTTGTGCCATAGATGTAGTGCTGCGAAAGGGCCACTAGATGGTGGGGTGGGGCTGTGCCGCTCAGCGGGGCATCATGGTCTTTGAAGCCCCCCAGTATTTCTCAGGGTCAGAGCCGTAGGGCCCCTTTCACAGCTGGAGACCCTGCTTCCAATCGCAGGTGAGGCTGGGTAATCATGAGCAGACAGAGCCAGAATGCCATAGACGACCAGGCCTGTAGAAAGGAAACCGGTGGAGTGAAGCACGAACTAGCTGCTGGCACTGAACTGACCCCTTTGTAGGTGACATGTATATAGACATATGCTACTTCTGCCCCCTTCTGGATGGACTCAGAATGCTCACCTGTGTGTCATATAGCCTCTACTGCTAATCGCGTGTGGAGATTCTCCTTTAGTTCAAGAGACAGGGGCTTTTGGAGCAGGAAGTTTCCAGGGATCTGAGACGGACAGGGACGGACGCACGCCACGTGATCTCTTCTAGAGCAGGTGCAGTCAGACAGGAAAGGGCCTGCAAGCTGCCTGAAGTATGAAGTGACGCCTCCATTCGGTACAAACCATCCTGTAAGACGAGGCTGGATCAAAGCCTCGTGGTCTGTTTCTCTCTACTTACCTGGGCTCATCGCTGAGGTATCTCAGGCCCAGCCTCATCCCATGCCAGTGCTGAGCCCGGCACAGGGAGTGAGGGAGGAAGCACTGTGCTTCCCTTATCCTGGAGCTACTTCAGGCATCCCTGAGATCTGCCTTAACTTGCGCTCAGCTGCAATAGCGTTGCACCAGCCGAGGGGAGTGGCCAAGCCACGCCTCCTCCTAGCCCCACTGCACCCGGGCTCCTACAGGACTGGTGAACTCAGCCCTCTAAGCTGGGAGGTATTAGCCCAGAGGCTTTACGGCCCCTTTGCACTGGTGTAGCCAGCACAGAGGGGCCCCGGCATACAGGTGGCTCCTGCCCCCGGTGGGTCCCACAGCATGTAGCTAACCCACTTGGGTCTGAGGGAGGAGGCTGGGGAAGAGATTTTTCTCCCATTCCATCTGTGGCCCCTGGCTCCTCGCAGGGCCCTGATCAAGGGGCAGATCTCGCCAGGACAGCTGAGTTCACAGCCGTGGGTTGAATCTGGGTACGTGGTGAGCCCGGAATGGTGGGGGCAGGTCCGCGGGTACAACTTGGTAGAAAGCTAGAAAGGCACAAGCCGAAGGCAGAGGTCTGGTTCCCAGTCACTCTTTTGCTGTGACTGGGGCTGGGACGGAGGGGACGAAGGTGGCTTTAAGTCCTCTTTCCAGTGCCCATATTGTGGGGCTGTGCAAGGCCCTGACTGTCCCTCAGGGTACATTAGAGCAGCCTCAGGGTTGCTCTAACTTACAGGCTGTTTTCCATGGTCCCTGGGAGTGCTTTCCAGTCACACCCCTGATCTGCCATTGATCTCCCATAGCTGCCATCTATGCCCAAGATCCACCAGCTACATAGAGCCCTTATGCCACCTCCATAATGGCCCAGGAGGCCCCGCACAGGGTGGATTCTCAGGGTTGTTTTTGCCCTTTCTAAGACCCCTTTGAGCTGTCCAGAGCAGCACGACGTGTACAAGAGACGCCGCTCCTTCCTAGCTCTTGCTCCGCGGAAGGGTGGCGACTGCAGGGTAGTTTGTTTGGCATGAAATTGATGCTCAGAGTCTCCCCCCCTTTAAGCCCCCCAATAAAATCCCCACCGTGAACGTGATGCGGGTTGGACAGGCCGCAGAGACTTTCTGCAGCCGGAACAGACGCTGCGGCTGGCGGGCCGGCCAGGCCGTTGGCGTGCCGTTTGGCACATCTGATCTGGGGTTGAACTTTAAGCGTTTCCATATGAGAAATGTGATTTCCCCAGGGGAAGGGAGGGGCTGAGGCTATCGCTCATCCTCCATGCAGTGGGAGAGGAGCAGTGGGGGTTGCAGCTCAGCGGGCTGCAGATGGGGTTGATTTTTTTTTTTAAAGTGACAGGACGGCTTGTACGCAGGTGTCTTCTTCTGTGGTTCTATTGGCTCTGTTTAACCCCGTCAGCACACTCAAGCTCAGAAAGGGCCGGCCTTTGCTTCCCCAGGAAATCCCAGGGTGTCCCAGTTTGGGTGGCTCAGTAGGGGACGCTTTCCCTCCCAGGCCGTCCTGGCCCTAGTGTAGCGCAAGGGGATGACTCGTCAAACCAAGGTGCGGTTAAACTGGTTTAAGTGGGTGCACAGGAGGGGTGTGCACTGATTAAATGACATATTTAAATCAGTCAGGCTCATAGATTTAAAGCAAAAGGGATGGTATGATGGGATAGCCTCATTTTGGCAATGAATTGATCTTTGACTATTAGCGGTAAATACGCCCAATGGCCTGTGATGGGACACTAGATGGGTGGGATCTGAGTTACTACAGAGAATTCTTTCCTGGGGGCTGGCTGGTGAGGCTTGCCCACATGCTCAGGGTTTCGCTGATCGCCATATTTGGGGTCGGGAAGGAATTTTCCTCCAGGGCAGATTGGCAGAGGCCCTGGGTTTTTTTTGCCTTCCTCTGCAGCGTGGGGCACGGGTCACTTGCTGGAGGATTTTCTGCACCTTGAAGTCTTTCAAACTTGCAGTCCACAAGTTGAGGACTTCAATAGCTCAGATATAGGTTGGGGGTTTGTTCCAGGAGTGAGTGGGTGAGATGTGCAGGAGGTCAGACCAGAAGATCATAATGGTCCCTTCTGACCTTAAAGACTGAGTCTATAATCTAGCGCACCCTTTCCCATATAGACAGGTCCTTAGTCTCTACCAGCACGCAGGCAGTTTTTGCTGAAATTGGTTTGGCTGCAATTGATCTGCGTCCACGCAGAATGACCTGCCTGCAGAGGTGTGTCATTAAACTGAAATGTCCATTTATTCCAAGGGCTGCAACATTTTCCAATGCCGGCTTCACTCCATTTAGGAAGATAACAGGCAACACCAGGAGGAGACTGGAGGGCCGAGCCCGCACCTTTCCAGCAGCGAGGATAGCGCTCGAGGAACCAGCTGACACATCACTGGGACCATGTCTGCCACCCCACCTACCAGAGACCCATCCTCCAAGGATGTCAACACAAGATGATCACCTCTGCAATAGCTTTGGTTGGTTTTCCCCCTCCCAACCTGCCTCTTCCTGGTCTCCACGTGCTGCTGGCTGAACACCGGGGCTTTATTTCAAATAGCCCCAGAGATCTGAAATCATTTACCTTTGAAAGATGGGCCGCAGGGCAAGCGTAGCGTGTTATAACAAACCCAGGCGCTGCAGCTGCTAGACGCAGTGACTCGATCAGCCGCTCGCACGCCTGGATACAGGACTAGAACCCAGGCCGTTTTGCGCCACAGTCCCCGCCCTCTACCACTTGCGCTAAAGGACAGCTCCCTTCCCTGCTTGTAGAGGTCATTTCCTTATCTTCTCTGAGGGCACAGCTAGCTGAGAGCAACAGGAAAGCATGCACCGAGTAAACTCTACTTCAGCCTCCCTTTCGCTGCAACTGAAGCCAATTATTATTAAGTGATTGGACTCTGGTAGCACCTAGGAGCCCCCAGCATGGAACAGGATCCCGGGGTGCTAGGGGCTGTACAACCACAAAAACAAAATGACGGTCAACCAGGGTCCCTTTTACTGCCTCACCTTTCCACCACGGAGCAGTTTCTGTTCACCGGGTGAGCAAGGTAGTGGGGTTTGCCCTTCAGACCATGTGGCTGCAGGAGCAAATTAGGCGGAGTTGGCCATCGGATACGTTGCAGCAGCGCTGAACTCTCCAATTCAGAGGTGGGGGCAACTGAGTCTTCCGTCCTAGTTCTTTGCTTCCTGCTGGATCGGGACACAGTCTGATCCTGCTCCCGTTGGAGTGAGTGAGTGGCCAAAGTCCAATTGATTTCCAAGGCAGGGGACTAGGTCTCTCAAAAGCAGATAGATCCTTGGTGCACCTCTCTTACATCACAGGCTCTGGCTGGCTGGCTTTCCCCTTGCCTCGGTCCTGAGACTGTTTGGCTGTGGAAAGAAAATGACCCGCATCCAGACGTTTATTCTGGAAACAGGCTTTGGTGCAAGACCAGGTCCTTGTGGCTATCTGAGCAGTGCTGGGGCGGAGCACCAGGGGAAATGAAAGCGCTGAGATCAGCAAACAGAAGGAAGGGGTTTCCACTGAGCTATGAACTGAGATACTCTTGTGGGCCTAGAATTTTGTCACATGGTCTCAGCCGTGCGACCCCAAAAAGACACTAGCATAGGCAGTGTTGTCTAGTGGGTAGGGGACGTGACAGAAGACCTGGGTTCTAGTCTTGACCCTACTGCGTAGCCTTGGGCAAATCATGCTGCTGCTCTGTGCCTCAGTTTCCCCTCCCAGCCTTTGTCTATTTAGAGTGTAAGTTCTTTGGGCGGGGATTGTTTCTTAAGGTGTGTTTGTAGAGTGCCCGCCCTCCTCTGGGCTGGGGCCCCTAGGTGCTGCTGTCATAGACGTAACGAATGATCTATCCAATAAATAATAGAGCAAGACCCTCAGCTGGCGTCAATCCGAGTGGCAGCGTTGAAGTGAATAAAGCTAGGCGGGCTGAGATGTGGCCCAGTGGCTTTGTCTTTGTCACTCAGAAACCTATTAAATTGGAATTTTGGAAATTCTTATTTTCTTCTCTTCTTCTGATGCTGTTTGTTTGTTTTATTTCCCCTGCGCGGCTGGGCTTCCATTCCACTTATCGTCAATTTCTCTGTCAGGGTTTGAGGAGAAGAGAAAGGATCTGGGGGGGCTGACCAGTGCTGAGAGCGGAGGGCAGCTCCCACTCCCCTGCCTGGCTTGGAGAAGCCCCACACCCACCCAAACTCCCCACAACTCCCCTCTCTGGCTTCCTGGAGCTGCATCCCTCCCCCAGATCGCCCTCCCCTCCTTGGCTTGGGAGGGCAGCACCGTCCCCTCACCCCCCTGCCTTTTCTCCAGTTTTGGCAACAGCTCCTCCTCCTCTTTATTGCACTGCTGTGACCGGGTCGATTTCAATTACAGCAGGGCCAGGTGGCTAGCGTAGACCAGGCTGCGCGGTATTGCCATTGGAATTGCCACTAGAAGGCACCCAGGACCGTTCATGGTCACCCCACCCCTTGTGCGATCATTTCCATCGCGACACTAGGCCGGAAAGGGGAACACGGGCAGCCAGCGAGAACCCTCCCACTCTGGCTGAGGTGGTGAGGGCTTGGCAAGATAGGTCTTTGCCAGCTCCCATGCTATTGACCGCCTGACTTTTGCATTGCAAGGGGGTCCCAGAGACTCATCCCCTCCCAGACGTGCTCTCACCCCCTTAAACCACACATGGCCAGAGGGGTGCGTGTGAAGGGGGAGGGCTGTTGTGCAATAGCTTTGAAGTGTTAGGCACGCCCACAATCATGCCACGGCCTGCCCGTGGCTGCTCATCTTCCTTCAGCTTTAATGCTTCACGCTGGATCTACTTCCGTACCAGAAGAGATGCAAGAAGCTGCTATTCTGCCTACCCAGGTGCCCTCCTTAATCTGATCGCCTCATGATCGCTGATCGCTTTTTATCCTCACGCCACCCCCTGTGACATAAGGGGAGTTTTATCCCCATTTTAGTACAGGAAAGGGCACTGAACAGATTAAGCAACTTGCCCAGGGTCACACAAGGAGTCGGTGGCAGAGCCACAAACTCAACCCAGGTCTCCTGAATCCACATTCTGTGCTGTATCCACTAGACCGTCCTTCCTACCAAACACAATCAATTGCATATATGCATAAGCTCCTTCCACAGCGGTCATAGAATC